TTCAACATTAAAAAAGACTGATTTACAAACTCCAGTATCTGTGTGCATTGTAGTAAACTAGAGGTCTCTGAAAATAACAAATAGTGTCTTAAAGGTTAAAATTGTGTGGCCCAAAGGTTTTGGAGATTCTGCAGCATTGTTATTATTATTGATTTCACAAACTGGTGAGAACTAGACAAGATGTCAGGCAATGGTAAAATTTATCTAGTTAAGTCCTCAATGAACCCATTCTAGTTAGTTACAGAAGATGGGTTCATTAGATATTAATAGATGATCTTCTAAAGCTGTTACTAAACCTATAAACTGAAACTAGAGAACGTCTTTTTAAATGTTGTTACAGAAGCTCTCAATCCTATTAGTTTTCAAATAGTTTTGAATAGTAGCTTCCTTTAGTAAATAGTAGGAGTAACACTTCAGGTTATTCTCGGTTTGCATTTCTCTGTTTCATACAATGACTTGTACTTAAACTTATTTTGAGAAAAACGTTCAGGAAGAATATTATGATCAAATTTCTCTAACTTCTCAGGCTGTTGTCACTGCTTATTTATCAGTAATAGTCAGTTACTACCAAGTGTATCAGTTGTTAAAATACACAGCTACAGTTTTGGATTAGTTTTGTGTAGTATATCTTCCTTGATGACTTTGACATTTACATACACGACTGATTAGAAAGCTTATAAAGCACTGAAATTGAGATAGAGTAGGATTCAACCTATTTTTGCTTATAGTTAATGTCTTCCGAGTAAGCTCTTTTAATGTTGGCACATAATACACAAATAGCAACATATGGTTCAAAGTTTTGTTAATTGATTTTGTGCTATTTTTGAATAGAACTGGGTAATTTAATTGATTAGTTATGAGCAGCAATTACATTGATCAGTATCACATAAACTAATCAATAAACTTATTGATAAAAATTCTGATTATATCATTTGTCATGAAAATTGTCAATTATTTAAAAATAGTTTGCAACTATAACTATTTTCAGTTATTCCAACTATCCAATTATTGAAATATTGCTACAAAACTTGCTGTCCATGTCTTTGTTGTGGCAAAGATACTAAGGCCATGTACCATTGGCATTGATTTTGAATTACTGACTAGAGGCAACAGGCTGGCAGCATAAGCTGTCAGTTTGTTGTTGTTGCAGTTGTTGTTGATTATAGGGAAGGCAAATGACTGGCATCACCTGCTACCACCATTTTTTTTCTTGTACATACTGTGGCTTGAGCTATAATGTCATAATTGATTAATCGATTGAAATGGAGCTATCAATTAGAAAATCACTAATTTCCCAGTTCTACTTCTGAAATTCTTTTTGTTTTAATTGAAAAATTTCTGGAAGTTTTTTTTTATCTTGGTAAATCTACATCTTCATGCTGTTGTTATCTGAAAGTACTGGAAGTTCATTATTAAATGTATAGTGGCTCCAATATTTCATTTGCAGTTTTCTGTTGTAACTGAAACCTCAGGTTAGCATAATTCCAAATTTATTTGCAATTGTTTAAACATTTAGAAGGAGCTTTGCATCACATAAAGTTGTAAGGAGGAAAAGTTTTGAAACACAACTTTTTATGTTATTCAGATAAGTAGTACAGAGAGTTGAGTACATTATTTTAAAATAATTTTGGAGCCTTACCACATTGCTACAATCCATGTCCCAACATCTGGTCATACTCTTTCTATTGACTGTGCATATTGACAATAGTTCTACAGTGCCATTACTAAAGATCCCATCGAAGACTGTAGTGTCCAAGGCATGTCACACCTTCCTCCATGTTTTACGTAACCTGTCTAGTATACACAGATGATGGGTTTCCGGCACCCTCCTAAACAGTGTGGTTGCACAGAAATAAATAGGCACTATATCTGGTGACTTGATCACTAGGTCTTTTCCAGACACAGATCTTTTTAATTATGTAGTGTACTGTTGCTTAGGGCACATGGATGGCTTTTGCCACTGACCTTTATGTTCATGGGATCTTGCCTATTACAAGAAACCACACTTTGCTTACCACAACTTATTGCAGGTTTCTTTCTTGGGGTCCTGGTGTCCCGAATTGATCCACATCCTTCTTTTTTTTACCCAGTGCCATTAAGTAAAAGGAATACGCCTGTCTTGAACATTCTAAGTTCTCAATCTATATACATCTTTATGCTCTGGGTATATGAATATTTTTCATCTGTTACATAATACCCTTTGCTAAAATGATCAGTTTCCTGGTGGCATCACACTAACTACAAAACAACAAACAGTGCCAAAAAGTAGCTCTGATACATTTTGTTGCACTGTGACTTTCTATCAGCTATGGATATAAAATGACTTGCTAGCTTGCATATTCAAATTTATTTTACTATAATGTACTCATCTTCTTTACATCTCCAATAAAGTAATGCTGTATTATTTGCATCTCTGTTAACCCTATTGCAATAAGTTTGTGTCTTACATTCAAAATTTTATTAAACTACTTTTTATTTATGTTATACCAATTAGAATAGCATAATATCTTAGCTAATAATCCATATTTTAAAAGTATATAAGTTTTAAGTTCTTAATTCTACAAGGCAATATTTAATAAAATCCTGAATTTCCCCTAGTGTAACCTACGTGACACACTTTCTCTTAGCATGCCATCTTCCCTACTTTATCCACCACCTCTCAAGAAAGTACGAAATTAAATGTAAATTGTTATTGCTCAAACAAACCATAATTTTTATAGTCTTAAATTTTGTTTGGTTATAGAGCTATCAAATAGAAAATCAAACCCCTCCTGCCATGCCTACCTGTCACATCCTCTCTTTCAGAATTCATTAATAGTTCTCCCTTATGTTTAATTATATTTTACCTATAACCAATAGAATGTCAAGGTTATCATTTATCAAATGATGAATTGTATAACATTATGTTCTG